TATGTGAGGAAAACAGAACTTTTACTTTATATACTTGTACCCTGATGATTTATTCTTTCTTATACATTTTTTAACAATGCATAATTATACAATATTTACAAAAAGTAAATAATGAGGAAACTACCAAGATCTGAACATAAAACATCTTAGAATATTTTTCTAAATGATATTATTATTGAAGTAGAATTCATAGAGAAATTGAAATCCTCAGAGACTTCATTTCAGTTTATCTACTAATGACATTTTTCAGGCTCTTCTCAAATTTTATTCAAGCTGTGAGGGATATATGCCTTGATTACTTCTCCCAACAATCAATAACAACAATACCAAAAACTGGTTCACAGACAAAAGGCACACAGCTAGCTTTTTGTAAGATAAACACTAAAAACATGAAGAAAAAAAAAAATAGGGGCGCCTGGGTGGCTCAGTCGGTTGAGCTTCCAACTTTTAGTGGGGAGTATGCTTGAGATTCTCTCCCTCTGCCCCTTCCCCTGCTGTGCATGCATGCACTGTCTAAAATCAATAAATCTTAAAAAAAAAAAAAGATTAAAAAATACCTTAAGGGTTTTGGTGCTACTCTTATGTTGAATTATATGAAATTGCTACTAATCAATCATTCAACTTTGGTACAATGCTTTCCTGAGGAAGGATTTTACCCTTTATGGACGATTTGACCTTTGATGGCTCACTCATTAGCTGACAATCCCCACTGTGTAGAGAATTAATTTCTTCCTCACTACAGGATATGCTGAACCACAGGTCTCTTATGAAAAAACTACATAAAACATGTTTGGACTTTTATTTCAGTAAGTCTACCATGATAATGAAGAAATTGTAAAAAATATTCAAGCCATAAAGGGAAAATGTAAATTTTGGGTAAGTGAAACTATAGGTATACCTCAGAGATACTGCAGATGCAGTTCTAAACCACCATACTAAAAGCAAGTTTACAATAAAGTCAGTCAGACTATTGAAGTTTTTGGTTTCCCAATGCACATAAAAGTTATGTTTATACTATACTGTGCTTTTTTTTTTTTTTTAATTTTATTTATTTGACAGAGAGAGACACAGTGAGAGAGGGAACACAAGCAGGGGGAGTGGGAGAGGGAGAAGCAGGCTCCCTGCAGAGCAAGGAGCCTGACGCAGGGCTTGATCCCAGGACCCTGGGATCATGACCCGAGCTGAAGGCAGACACTTAACAACTGAGCCACCCAGGCGCCCCTACACTGTACTTTTGTAAGGGTGCAACATCGTTGTCTAAAAAACTAATGTATGTACCTTAATTTAAAAATACTTTATTGCTAAAAACCATCATTTAGGCTTTTAGTGAGTCATAATCCTTTTGCTGGTGGAAGGTCCTGTTTTGATGATGCTGGCTGCTGACTAATCAGGGGGTGGTTACTGAAGGATGGGGTAGCTATGGTAAGACAGACAGCAGTGAAGTTTGCCACATTAATTGACTCTTCCTTTCACAAACGACTTATCTGCAGCACGCAATGCTGTTTGGATATTTTATCTGCAGAACTTCTTTCAAAATTGGAGTCAATCCTCTCAAACTCTGCTGCTGCTTTATCAACTAAGTTTATGTAATATTCTAAATCCTTTGTTATTTCAACAATCTTCACGATCTCAAGAAACCATTTTCTTTGCTCCTCCACAACAAGCAACTCCTTATCCAATCAACTTTTATGATGAGTTGCAGCAATTCAGTCATATGTTCAGGCTCCACTTCTCATTCTAGTTCTTTGCTATTTTTACCACATCTGCAGTTGCTTCCTCCACCAAAGTCTTTCTGAAGCCCTCAAAACCATCCAGGAGGGCTGGAATCAACTTCTTCCAAACACCTATTCGTGTTGATATTTTGACCTCTACCCATGGAATCACAAATGTTCTTACTCGCATCTTAGAATGGTGAATCCTTTCCAGAAGGTTTTCAGTGTACTTTGTCCAGATCAATCAGAGGAATCCCTACCTATGGCAGCTACAGTCTTACAAAATGTATTTCTTAAATAGTAAGACTTCAAAGTCAAAATTACTCCTTTATTCAGATGTTGTATAAACTGCAAAATAGATGCATTAGCAGACATGAAAACATGTACCTTGTACATCAGAACTCTTGGGTGACCAAATACATTGTTCAATGAGCAGTAGTATTTTAAAAGGAATTTTTTTTTTGTTCTGAGCAGGTTTGAACAGTGGGCTTAAAATATTCAGTAAACCATTTTGTAAACACAAGTGCTGTCATTCAGACTTTACTCTTCCATTTATAAAGCACAGGAGAGTAGATTTAGCATAATTCTTTAGGACCCCAGATTTTCAGGACAGTAAATAAGCACTGGCTTCAACCTAAAGTCACCGGCTATATTAGACCCTAACAGGAGTCAGCCTGTCCTTGGAAGCTAGGCACTGACTTCTCCTCTCTAGCTATGAAAGTCCATCCAGATGGCATCTTCTTCCACTAGAAAGCTGTTTCATTTACACTGAAAACCTACTGTTTAGTGTAGATAGCTTCATAATGCTCTTAGCTAAATCTTCTGGATAACTTGTAGCAGTTTCTACATCAGCACTTGCTGCTTCACCTTGCACTTTGATGTTACAGAGACAGTTTCTTTCCTTAAACCTCATGAACCAAACCTGTGGTTAGCTTTAAACTTTTCTCCTGCAGCTTCCTCACCTCTCTCGGCCTTCACAGAATTGAAGAGAATTAGGTCCTTGCTCTGGATTAGGTTTTGGCTTAAGGGAACACTGTGGTTGGTTTGATCTTCTATCCAGACCACTTAAACTTTCTCCCTATCAGCAATAAGCCTGTTTCACTTTCTCATTATTCATGTGCTCACTGGAGTAGCACTTTTAATTTCCTTCAAGAACTTTTCCTTTGCCTTCACAAGTTGGCTATTTACTGCAAGAGGCTTAGTTTTTGGCCCATCTCGGCTTTCAACATGCCTTCCTCACTAAGCTTAATCTAGTTTCTAGCTTTTGATTTAAAGTGAGATGTGTATGACTCTTCCTTTCACTTGAATACTTACAGGCCACTATAGGGTTATTAATTGGCCTAATTTCAATATTGTTGTGTTTCAGGGGAGAGGGCGAGAGATGGGGAACAACCAGTGAATAAAGCAATTAGAACAAAACACAATATTTATTAAGTATGTCATCTTATACGGGCACAGTTCATGGTGCCCCAAAATAATTATAATGGTTACATCAAAGATCACTGATTTCAGATCACCATAACAAACATAATGAAAAAGTTTGAGATATTGCAAGAATTGCCAAAATGTGACAGAGAGACACAAAATTAGCAAATGCTGTTGGAAAAATGGCACCAAAAGACTTGCTCAAAGCAGGGTCACCACAAACCTTCAATTTGTAAAAAATGAAGTATCTGCAAAATGCAATGAAACAAGGGATGCCTGTGAAACATACACAGGCTTATGGGATTTTTAAAGTAGATAGGGCAAAAAAGTCTTTTTTTTTTTAATATTTTTTTTTTAAGATTTTATTTATTTATTTGAGAGAGAGAGAATGAGAGATAGAGAGCACGAGAGGGAAGAGAGTCAGAGGGAGAAGCAGACTCCCTGCTGAGCAGGGAGCCCAATGTGGGACTCGATCCCGGGACTCCAGAATCATGACCTGAGCCGAAGGCAGTCGCTTAACCAACTGAGCCACCCAGGCGCCCAGGGTAAAAAAGTCTTGGGGTAGGGGAATGAAAGGAATTGAAATACTTAAATATCCTCAAATTAATTCTAATTTACTTTCTTCTAGATTCTTAAAATATTTCTGCATTGCCTTTTTCTTCTATCAGCTCTCAGAGCATTAATGTTAATTTTCATCATATAAACCATAATAACACAAATATACTGGGAAGGGGTGGGCTGGAATTGGGAAAACTATATAATGAGCTACTACTCAACTACTACACTTAACTATGAAACTTAACTCATCTTTTTTTTTTTTTTTTAAAGTAGGCTCCACCCCAACATGGAGCTTGAACTCATGACCCCTGAGATCAAGAGTTGCATGCTCTACCAATTGAGCCAGCTAGGTGCCTTGAAATTTAATTCATCTTAAACTCTCCTCTTTCCTCTCATAACTTGTCTTAAAAAGAAACCAACCAACTCCAGACTCCATATCCCCCAGCCTTTTCTCCTTCACAGCCCAACTTCAATTTGCTTATTCTTGCTCTATAATACGTTTATATTCACTATACAAACTACTCCAATCTTTTTCCATCATCTACATTCTACTAAACTTTCTCCTACATTAGCAAGAAGTTTATCATTCAATCCAATGGCCATTTTGAGCCTTTTTCAATTGTTTAATCCAATGGATATTTGATCTTTTTGTGGAACATATGCTATTGACCACCTGGCCTTAAACCATTTTCTTTGTTTCCCTGACCACCACTCTATCGTAGTTTTTTTTTTTTTTTTTTTAGAGATTTTATTTATTTATTTGAAAGAGAGAGAATGAGAGATAGAGAGCACGAGAGGGAAGAGGGTCAGAGGGAGAAGCAGATTCCCTGCTGAGCAGGGAGCCCGATGTGGGACTCGATCCCGGGACTCCAGGGTCATGACCTGAGCCAAAGGCAGTTGCTTAACCAACTGAGCCACCCAGGCGCCCCTCTATCGTAGTTTATACAGTTTATGTCTAAACTCTTCATAAGCATTATCCCTCCAAAAAAATCCCTTATAAGCTGGTATCCCAAGCCTCTCTGTCTTGAGTCAAGTTCACTTTAAAGAGAATTCATTTATTATTACAGTTTCACTTCCACCAATTACTCATGAATTTCAAACCCAATGTCTCAACCGGTTCTCTTTTCTGAGCTCAAGACTTACACATAAAACTGCTTGCTAGAAACAGGTTATCCAAGTGAAAATGGAATCTTCAACCTAATATAACTAAAACTAGTCTCGCCTAATTGTTCCCCCCAAACCTGTCCTATTTTACCATTTACCTCAATGCTTGAGTCAGAAGAACCTATGTGTCAGAAGGCTTACCTGTTCTGTAAAGGATGTTTAATATAGTGTTCTGGGTTAGCAACCTCCTGATTAGATTCTGTTTTCTCTTCTTCTGTAGGCGGGGGATTAGGAGTAGGGGTGGTTTCCTAATGGAAAATAATAAAACATTATTTTAAATTTCTTAACATAACTATGATAGCAATACTCTAAATCAAATACTGCCAATATTCTTTTTTTAAGAAGAATTATAAAAGCATTTCATAAAACAGACCACAGACCAAGCACTAATAAAAGCACCAGATTCTCCATTCTAGCATCTCTTCACTAAGAGCAAAAGGCTTCTCAATAAAAATACAGTCCATATACAGTTATCTGTGACACATTTTGTTATCAGAAAGATTGTGAGACACCATGCAACAAAGCTAAGAAAATCAGCTGTCTTTCCTAACATACCATTAAAGTACTATGTATGGTTTGGAGGGTGGGGGAAGTATGACTAAAGTTTGGAGAATAATAACTATATTACAATGACAAAAGAGAGCTTTATAAACTGATCAAGCCAGTACTACACAGGTCCTTCCCTTTTGTCACACTATAATATGGTAACTTAGAAGTTCAGCAACTTCTGTCATTTTCAAATGGCCCCAGGCAAAAAAGCTCAATGTTGGCTTGAACCTAAATCTTCTTCTAGGTTAGACATAATTAATACTGTCATCTAAAAACGTCAGGAAAAGGGGCACCTGGGTGGCTCAGTCAGTTAAGCGTCTGCCTTTGGCTCAGGTCATGATCCCAGGGTCCTGGGATGGAGCCCTGCATCAGGCTCCCTGCTCAGCAGAGAGCCTGCTTCTCCCTCTGCCTGCCAGTACCCCTGCTGGCGCTCTCTTTCTCTGTCAAATAAATAAATAAAATCTTAAAAAAAAAAATCCTTTAAAAATGTCAGGAAAAAAAGGAGCTTGGGGATTATCTGTGTTCTCCACATTGCTCCATGTAGCTCTTCACCCAATTATAAACTATTTCAACAAAACTGAATGCTAAGGAAAGGCACCAGAAGCTAAAACAAAAGCTGATTTTTTTTCAAAAAGGGCACCACAACAAGTCTGGGGATAAATTGAACCAGCAAAACAACAGAGATGTATGCTCACATTAACAGGATTATGCAAATCAGAGATGTGGGATCTAAAGGTATCCCAGTGGATAGGAGTATTCATTTTACAAAATACATTTTTCTTAATAACATGACATGTCTAGGAGCTAATTTCTACTAGCCTATGAAGTCGCTCATAACAGAGGCTATGCCTTTTGCTCACAACTGTAATGCCAATGAGCAAAGTGCTATACTCAATAGGAACTTATTGTCTTGATTTCTTAAGTAATAAATGTAAATGTTTACAAAGCAATTAAGACTAAAACTTAGAGTAGTCAATGCCCTAAAATCACCATTTTTTACTAGCATTTTTCGATCAATTTACATCATCATATAATTACAAAATGCCATTCCTTACCCCACTAGATTAAAATTAGTGATAGTTTTCAGACAGAGGCAGTCTCAAAGATCAAAAAAATAGAGAACAGTTCGGGACTAAGTGGGCCTAGGGAGACAGGGTACTAGAGAAAAGTGGGCTACAGAGGAGTAAGCCTCAAAAATCTATGTAAAAGTCCCTCAGAGGTCCTTGGCTAGTTGCTAAGCTGTGATATTCAGTGTACAGCTCTGGGTAGTCTAGCAGAGAACAGCTGAGCCAAGACTTCAGAGGCTGTATACCATTAGGAAGACTGGGTTCAGACCCAGTCTTGCTCAGCAGGGAGCCGGCTTTTCCCTCTCCCTCTGCTTGCCGCTCCCCTTGCTTGTGCTCTCTCTCTTTCACTCTGTCAAATAAATAAAAAATCTTAAGATTTTATTTATTTATTCAGAGAGAGCAAGAATGAGAGACTACAAGCAGGGGTAGGGGGGAAGCAGAGGGAAAGGGAGAAGCAGGCTCCTCTCTAAGCAAGGAGCCCGATGCTGGGCTCAATTCCAGGACCCTGAGATCGTGATCCGAGCCGAAGGCAGATGCTTAACCAACTAAGCCACCCAAGCGCCCCTACAAAGAATCTTTTTTAAAGTCACTAATGATCAAGAGATTCACCTGTCCACAGAAAGACATCCAGACATGACCCGGGTAATGGAGTTAATAACTATGATTACTATGGTAAAACAGCAAAGACATAATAACCAAGATTACTATAGTAAAATAGAGAAGATAGGGGAAAGGACGAAAAAAAAATGGGGAGTATTTGAAAAGAAAACAAATCTATTTTTAAAAAGAACTAAATAGACATAATTATGGAACTGCCAAGTACAATGTCTGAAATTAAGAGTTCACTGAATGCGGGCACAGTCAGTTAAGCGTCCAAATCTTCGATTCAGCTCCGGTCATGATCTCATGGTCATGAAATCAAGCCCCACATGGAGCTCCACACTCAGTGTGGAGTATGCCTGAGATTCTCTCTCCCTCTGCCCCTCCCCCTGCTCGTTCTCTCTAGCTCTCAAATAAATAAAGCTTAAAGAGTTCACTGAATGATTAACAACAAATTCAACTCTGCAGAGTGTGAGATTGGTGAACTCAAACATAGGTCAACAGAAGATATTCAAACAAATACAAAGAGAAAAATAGATGGTAAGAAACATTATGGAAGACAGTTAAAAAGTTCAAGGACAAGATGAGAGAACGGGACAGAAGCATACACAACGACCAAAATTTACCAAATTTCATCAGAAACTCAAGTCACAGACTCAAAAAGCTCAAGGAACTCCAAGCAGTAAAATACAAACAAAACTATACCTGGGCATATCAGCTTCGAACTACTGAAAACCTTTTAAAGGAGTCACATTAAAAGCAGTTAGGAAAGGGGACACACACACACACACACACAATTCACAAGAATAATAAAATTAACAGCTAACTTCCCAACAGAAACTCTGGAAGCCATTAAGACAACAGAATTGACATCTCCACACTGGAAGAAAAATGGTCAACCTAGAATTCAGTGCCTAGGAAAAATATCCTTCAGAACTGGATAAATACACAGATGCACACAGACAGACACAACCCCTTCTCCCCCAACACATACACACAGGTCCAAAATAAAGAGGAACAAACACCAAAGGAAAAGACTTCAGGCTAGAGGGGAAAAAAAGAGCCCAAGTAAGAACATGAAAATGCAAAAAAGAATGAAAAGCACTGGAAAATGTAAATAGGTGGATCAATTTGTCAGACTATGAACAGTTTAAAAGAACAATAATAATGATGCCTTATGGAGTTTAAAATAATAATGATGGTTCTAGCAAAGCATTAGGTATATATAAATTTGTAAGGCTAGGTGTATAGTACATTCTTCCTCCAGAAGTTAAGTACTATAAATTCTCTTATTTATCTAAATTAAAAGACAAGTAAAATTTACTCATAAGTTCCAAATCCTCAATACAAACCATACTTTCACAACATTTATTTAAAGTTTATGTCAGCAGCACATAAAAACAATGAGTTAATTATAGTATGAATAATTATATGTTTCATGAGATCCAAAATATCATCTGCTAACTCACTCAGTATTTTACTTTCTTTTTGATTACTCGACTCTTTTCACAATTAGGAGAATGATGACTTAGATGGTATAAAAAATCTCTGGACACATAGGAACTAAAAGCAGGTAATAACTCAGGAAAAAGTATATTAAGTTCCTAGAATTTAAGTTTCTTTCGCTTTAAAAGTCCTACCTTATGTTTTAGTCTTTACATTAAGAATTTATAATTTTGAATTTTTCTTATAACTAAAATTAAAATTAACTACAACTTTAAATAAATGTGTGTGGATGTATAAAAGTGTAAAACCTTTCAGTCTTCACTTTTAATATTATACAAATATGCTAGATGTTAAGACAAATACTCTAAAACACTCTGAAAAAAATATTAAACAATCATCTTTCAGTATTTAAAACTTTTTTTTAAAGATTTTATTTATTTGACAGAGACAGAGCAAAAGAACACAAGCAGGGAAGGCAGCAGAGGGAGAGGAAGAAGCATGCTGACTGGGATCTCAATCCCACGACCCTGAGCCAAAGGCAGATGCTTAACCAACTGAGCCACCTAGGCACCCTCTCCCCTTTTTTTTTAAGATTATACAAAACTTTTTTTTTTTAAATATAAGCAGTAGACTGACATTTATTTAGCCTTTTAAGTTACCATCTGCAGTTTTAATAGTCTCATGTTCAAATTTTTTTTTAAAGATTTTATTTATTGAGAGAGGGAGCACACATGCCTGCATGGAGGGGAGGGGCAGAGGGACAGAGAGCCTTAAACAGGGTTCACTCTCATGATCCTAAGATCACGACCTGAGCTAAAACCAAGAATCAGACGATCAACCAACTGCGCCACCCAGGCGCCCCTCATGTTCAAATTTTTACCTTAAGAATTTCTCAAACTCTTTTAATAAACAATAGTTTTAATAGCCATTTCTAAGATAGAATATAAAATACTCTACGAAAATACTCATGAACACGGCACAAACCAAATCTAATAAAAGTTAGAAATCACTTCATGATGGAATTTACTTATGAAAACATGAATATTAAAAACCACAGGGCACATTAAAAAAGGAAAAGTCATATTTTCTTATTCAGGCCATATTTTGTTATGATCATCTACTTGTCTCACCAATTCATTCTTAATTAGCAGAAATTTAAACCAAAATCTAAACCAAAAATTTATTAATCATTCACCTTTTAAGTTGCTTGCAACTATATTATAAACTATTGCAAAGAAATAAAAAAACTTGTTTGAGACTGCTGAGACATGCCTCTGTTAATTTCTTTCAACTTATTATTTAGTTATAAAACCTCTCAACTTTGATTCAAATAATCAGAATGCTTTTTTTAAAAAACTTAGATAACACAAAAGAAAAATTATCATCAATGTAGGAGGTTATTTAAGACTTCCAGGCTAATTCTGTGAGGGTAGTCCTCTATGGGGAAAGTCCAATTCCTACACAAACATTTGAATCTATAGCAACATACACAACGAGAAACGATGTCCAGAATGATGGCCATACTATATTAAATTCTTTGATCAAAAAATTATTTAAAAAATGATTTATAATGAGCATATGCCAAA